GACTGCGCTGACACGGGGACCACGACAGGAAAAGGAGGCGGAGCACGGAGAGTTCAAAGGAGTCAAAGGGGGGTATCAAGGCACCAAGGGCTACCCGGGAGGTTACGGCAAGGGAGGCTGCAAAAGGGATCCCCAATGATGTTGCCAGGGGAGCCATGCCCCAGGCTGGACAAGAGGGGGTATGGGTGGATTCGTGCCGAAACGTAACAGGGAGGGTTACAGATGCGGCAGCAATGGTCACATCGCAGCCCGCTGCCCCAAGAACACCAACGAGGTCACCCGAAGTACCAGGGGGGGGGGAAGCAGGAGGCCCAGGTGAGCCCACGCAGCTGCTAGGACAATTTTAGTAGGAGCAGGTTGTTATAGCGACGAGATGGGCGAATGTATTGACAAATGCGGAGCCGCAGACGACCCCAAACCTTCGAGGCCTGCTACAAGGGCACAGGAGTAGAGGACGCAGTCGCAGGTGACGAAGAGGAGGAACAGGGAGGCAAGGTTAGAGATCAAGTTGGAGTATGCATCACATGAGTGCGGAGTTCACTGCGACTGCGGCACCAAGGGGGATAACCGAATTGCGGGGCGCATCGGGCAGCAGAAAAGTTCTCAGCACAAGTACGCCGGATCACAGCTAGAGGGAAAGGAAGGATCGAACAAGAAAGTCAATGAGGTACCAGGAACAGACCAGATAAACGGCATGGAAACATGAATTGGGCTCAGGAGGCTACAACACTGTTCGACCCCCAAGGTGGTCGATGGCTTCCCAGAAAAAAATCACGAATGCATCCAAGAGCGGCCAAGCTTATAGCGCAGCTGATGGGTCAGCTAGAGCCATGGTTGTCTGCTTTCGTGGGCCGCTGCAGGGGACGCCCTAAGGCGGAGCCTCTCTTCAGGCGCTGCGGCGCGAACGCCAGACCACGCGTAAAGCCAGCGCCTCCAGCGCACGGTGGTGCAGACGGGCCCCGTGGGGTCAGCTGACTGCCAGGCTTTTTTTGATACATATATATATGTATGTATATATATATATATATATATATATATATGTATGTATATATATATATATACATCAATGTTTTCTTATCCAGCCAGGGACCCACTCGTCCGCGCCAGGGGGGAAGTCACCCCACCACCCGTGTTCAGCTTGCGGCGCCTGTCGCTTTGTGGGGCGGGTCTGCTGAGAACGTGCGGTTCAGGGGCCCAGGCTGTGACACTGTCTGAAGTTGTGCGCTCTCTTTTCTCTCTCCTCTCTCCTCCTTCCTGCTCCCTTAGCTTTCCTGCCCCCCCCACATCCAAAGATCGACGGCCCGCCGATACGTAGGAGCTCGATGGCGCAGTCCGCCCAATAGCGCGCGGTGTCGCTATGAGGGGCATATCGCCGATCGGACGGCGCTGCGTCGTCGGAGCTCTATGTTTTTCCCCTGCGCTGGCTCCCGAGGCTCCCCCCTTTCGTGCCCCATCTCTCTTGGCCCCCATGAAGGAAAGGTGGCCTCAGGGAAAAGGACCTAGCTCTCCATCAAGGGTAGTTGTTCGATCGTCCCCGAGCCCGTGGAGGGCCTTTGGGGGCCCGAGGACGTGGAACATTCCACGTTTGCTTTGTGTGTCCCGAGTCTTTTCCCTTCACGTTTCCCCTTTCAATTTGTCTCTCGAGTGATAGGGCCCCAGAACCACGACTTCCCTCCTGAAGGCGAGGAGGACGAGGAGGAGGAGGAGAATCCAGGCATCCGACAGCGTGATGCTTTCACTCCGCGGTGCCAAAAGTCCCGACCTTGTCTCTGGGGCCAGTCTTCCGTCCCGCATCAATGTTTGACGGCCTTGGGCCCACAAGCGGCCCAGAGACGCCGAGACTGAGAAAGAATTGCGCGATTTGCAGAACTGCCCAGGTGCTTTCGGCAAGGACGTGGGAACGGAGGGGAGATGGGGAGGGATATTGAGATCGGGTTGGGGGAGTTGCCCTCCTCGTCCTCCTCCCATGAGAGTGGACAGCGGCTCTCCGGTCAGTTCCGCTGACCCTCCCTCCGCCAAGGGTGCGTTTGTTTCCCCCACCGGCTCTGCATGCAGTGCTTCCGCGGGAGCCTTGAGACGGGGGTCGCTGCAAACGGGGGTCAGCCAGGGCAATGGATCTTGCAGGATCCTGCGAAGACCCCCTTCTGGCTGACCCGGGTCAGCGAGCCGCTCGTCGCCGCGGGGCGGCCGCGCCTGTTGGCTGACCCGGGTTTGCGAAGACCTGCGTTGCAGTTGTTTGTTCTTCTGCATTGCAGTTTTTTGGTTTTCTGCTAACCCAGGTCTGGATTGACCCGGGTCAGAAGATCCCCGATCCGATCTCGCCTCAGCTTGGCGCGGACCTCGCCACGTCGTCTATCCGCAGGTCGGGGGAAAGGAGGTTGTCCTCCTCATCCTTTTTCCTTGGGCAGTATCCTAGGCACTCCGACCTGCAGCGTCACACCCCATCCTTCTCCACGTCCTCCCCGCCCCGTACCCGCCGCCAGGCGCAGTCCAACGCGCATTGCTGATTCGAGTCTCGACGCGTAACCCGTGCAGGAATTATCGAGGGTATGACAATGCGTGGATACGCGGTTCTACCATAGGAATCTGTCGTTTCCAAGGGGACCATTTGCCACGATGAGAAAAACAGGCCACGTTCCTGTTATGTACTGGCTATCTGCGGAATTCCTGGCCGCCACGGGTGGGCGCGGCTCGAAACAAACGGGCCCAGCTGCATGGATCCTTGGGATGGGTGTGGGGACGAATTTTCCACACCCATACACCAGCATGATGGGTGGGTGAAAACGCCAGTTGCTGAATGCAGAGGGGTTGGCGCACCGTCTAAGAACTTAGACCGGCATGCAGTCAAGCCGCGCAGTAAGGATGGGCAGCTATGCAAGGGTACCTCTGCATCCTTTGCTTGCTCGGCACATCTTCAGCCATTTCCATGTTTTGGTCGCTGAACGTGCACAGCTGAAAAAAGGCTTCAGCTTTCGCGCTTGATGGGCTTGCATCCGTACTTGGGACCAGGAACATGTCCACTATACTATTTCATGTTTGTCCACCACTTCGTCCCAAATAGCGGCCAAGAACAACGTATACACTTTGTGTGCCAAGCCCCATGGGACATGGCCCAGATACTTTAGTGTACATGTGCACGGTTCCCATTTACCGCACATTCTCATCATCAAGTCTCCCTCTGCGATGGCATCTTTTCTCTCTTTGGGCTTGGCATGCCCTTCACGGCCAGCGCAGGGCCTACCAACACCAAGAGCGCCCTCTCGCCGGGTGCCCACCGCAGGAGCACCAGGCCGATGTGGTTTCACGTCTCAGGGCGTCCGAGCGTAACTTTTCTAACTTTGCTGCACGCGCCTTCATCGAAGAAGAAACGTTGCACAGACAGAAACCTTCGAAGATGGGGCGGCACGCTCCCCGCCGCCGCGCGCCAGTGGCCAGAAGGACCCAGCGCGATCCAAGAATTCTGTGTGGGGTTCCGAAGGTTTATGGTTATGCAGCGTTGTCTTGTTCGACTTTCGGCACTTTTGCCGATTCTGTTGGCAATCGCTTCGCTGGTTTGTGCTCAATCTGTTTGCCCAGCCTCAGCCGGTGTCCTTTTGTTGTTTGGGTGACCCGCTGGCTGGCCTGGGCAACTGACCAATCGGGGGAGGCGTCCTCTGGGTCATTTTCGGTCCGATCGAACCGATTCGATATCGGTTGGCCCGATCATATTCGATTCCAGAACTCCGACGATCCGGCACTGGATACTCGCATGGCGATGTCGCGCACCATGGCGCGGCAAGCTTTGCACGATGCCGATTCGACGCCCGTTCCGATCCGATGCGATTTCCCGCTTACTCGAGTCGTACGTTTCCCCGATCCTTGTCTTCCTCTTCCTCCTCCTCTTCTTCTTCCTCCTGCTCTTCCTCCTCGTCGGCTGTAGGAGATCAGTTGCAATTCGCTCCTTCTGCTCTTGCCATCGAAGGCTCTTTCCGCGGTGTCTACGAACACGTATGCACGAACAGGTCGGGGCAACGGGTGGGCCCGGGCAGGACGGGCGCGAGCGTGCAGGGTGGTGGCGTCCTGCAGGCAGCGGGAGCAGGGGGTGCAACAGCAGGAATCTGTCGGAGGCGCTCCGGGCTGCTAGGGAGCCTGCTGTACCGCCTGCCCTCTGGGGAGCCCTGTCGCCAGCGATTCCCAGGACGCGTGTTGGCCCAGTGTGGCACAACGCTGCACATCGACTTCGTGGTCGTCCGCATCTCCTGGGTCCCTCCTCGCCAGTCGGTGGCACCTGGTGCATTTCGCCTTCCTGGTCTTCCTCGACCTCGCGGACGTTGACTTGCTCACGGCCCTCCTCACGCAGCACTCGAGGATGGTGTTATTGGCGCGCCGATGACGGCAACACCAATCCACTTTCCCTGTGGGACCGCGCCCCCTGATCCAGTCCATGGCGCACCTTGTCCTGTGCAAGATTTTCGGCACCGCCTGTTTTCTGAGCCCTCCGGCCGCCTGAGGCCCCGCCTGCCCGCGCCCTGTCTCCCCAATTCGGGCTACCTGCGTCCAGTTTAGCTTGACCGGAAGGGGCCCGCTCCCGACCCGCAGAACAAAAAAGTGTTGGCCCAGTGTGCTGCGTGCATGCGCTGCGTGCTGCCTCTGCTCACGAATGCCCCCTTCCGTGGGTCCTCGCGTGGCGTGGCTTTCCCCATGGGTGAGCTCTGCGTCCCCCGCCTGGGTTGCCGCGCGAGGGTTTGGCCGGACAGCAGCCGCCGTGCCAGGTTGCAGGAATCTCGCGGCGGCAGACACCAACGCCGACGTCATGATACGAACATGGCGTAGTCACGGATACTTTGGGGGCGTCCGTGATGGAATGTGCCTAGGAGGCTTCAGGCCTTGGAGGGTTCCTTGTCCAATGAGGGCGGCGTTGATATCCATGGCTTGTCCACGATTGGAGTCCCACTGGCTTCCAGACCCTGGATTCCTTATCGAAGGCTTCCTTATCCAATGCCAACACCGTTCTGGAGCAGATGCATGTCGACGAGGACGAGGCTGTCCTGGTGTCTCTCGGCGAGGCGATCGTGGAGGGCGGCGACAGCGTGGCGTGCGCGGACGCGCAGATGGCAAATGCCGTCGGGCCCTTGCGGGGGGAGGCCGCCAGCTTGGAGCAGTGCCGTGCTGTGCCGACGCAACAGGGCACTGGTGAGGACGCGACCGATGAGGAGGACGAACTCGTTGTTGAGGACCGTGGAGTGTTCGATGGTGTGGCCTTTCTGGACGCTTCCGACTCCGAGTTCGAGGAGGCTTCTGGCGGAGCTAAAATGCTGATCGTTCGCGGGGTTGGGCCTGACGCAGGCCCGGCGGTCGCCATTGCATGCTTTGCCTCACCGCCAGCGCTGGCCCGCAGCGAGGCTACCTTGGCCTACCTGGAGGCGCACCCCGCTGTTTCTTCAGGGGGAACGGTGAGGCGGAAACCGAGGAGTAGCCCGAGGAGGATTCGTCCGAGGAGGCGTCCGACTCCTCTTCCGCGGAGCCCGTGCACGACGGAGCGGCGGGCGCCGCCTTAGTGGTTGGCGCGGCGCGCGCCGACATCGGTGCCAGCGGAGGGGGAGAGGGAGGCTTGGAGGAGTGTGCCTTGTACTCCGAGGACCTCTCCTGCCCCCCCGACTCGGGAGCAGCCGCGCTCGCCAGGGAGCTCGAGGTCACGCAAAGCGCGTGGTGGGCCGCGAGGGCCAGCATTGCCCGCGAGTGGCTGGGCGAGCCGTCGGGCGAGAGCCATGCGCCCGCGGGTTGCGGCGCGCTGGAGGGATGCTCATGCGCGGAGGCCTCGATCCAGGCGGAGGCCAAGCTGACGGTACAGGTCGTCTTGCTAGGGCAGAGTATGTTCATTCTGAAGCCAGTTGCCGACTATCTAGCGGAGCTGAGGCGCCAGGTCAGCGAGCTTCGCCGCAGTCCGCTGGACCTCGAGGTGATCGAGTCGCTCTCGCTGGGCGGGGAGGCGGAGATCATCGAGGAGGTGTCGCAAGAAGGGGCAGAGGTAGAGGAGCACTTGGGATCCATGGAGCTCGACTGCGAGGCCGTCGTGCTCCCTCGAGCCCCCGAGGCGGGACACGTTCGGATGAAGAGAGCAGCGGGCTTGCCGCGAAGCTGGGCTCCGCGGCGCATGGCCCAGGCGGCGGCAGCGGAGCGGCGGGGTCTGCGGCGGCGGCCAGCGCTTGTGCGGAGGCGCAGGCCGAGGCAGCGCCTGCGGCGAACACGGCGGTTTAGCGGCCTGGGGTAGTGTCCGCAGGAAGATCGTATGCATGCACGGGCCTCTCGGGGCCCTTGGACGGTTTTTTTACACACATGCCGACACCGAGTTGGCAATCCGGCGAAAAAACGCAAAATCTTTGGCCCAGCCAGGGCAGCGGGGCTAGCTGGTGGTAGGGGCACAGCAGCAGGGGCACAGCAGCGGGAGACCCAGTATGCCACCAGCCCTTCACAACAGGACCGCTGTGCAGAGATTGTTGATGGGACTTCGGACCCGTGGCAAGACAACCAATCGCACTCACAACAGATGAGTGCAAACGCCAAGTCGGGGCGGTCACCGTAAAGTGTTGCTAGATGGTTTGGAAATCTCATCGCTTTCCATTTCGAGATGAGAACTCTTGCTGCCAACGTGACATGCAGTTTGACAGGCTTCAGCCTTGCATGGTCGGCTTACTCGCCTACTTGTTTCATCATGCGGGCGTTACTCTGCCTCAGTGCCGCCCCCTTCCTCCACGATTCCCCTCCCGTTCCTCCTGCCTTCTCTCTTTCTTCTCATCCTCCCCGTCATTTTCCACCACCTCCTCCTCCTCCCCCTCCTCCTCCTCGTCCCCCTCCTCCCCCTCCTCCTCCTCTTCCTCCTCCTCCTCCTCCTCCTCCTGTTCCTCCTCCTCCACGTCCGACTCCTCCTCGTCCTCCTCCTATTCCTCCTCCTCTTCCTCCCCCTCCTCATCCTCCTCCTTCTCCTCCTCCTCTTCCTCCTCCACCCTTCCTCCTCCTTCCTCCTCCCTGCCTCCTCCTCCTCCTCCACCTCTTTCCACCTCCTGCTCTTATCCCCGCCTCTCTCCTCCTCCTGCTCCTACCTCCTCCTTCTCCTCCTCCTCCTCCTCCTCTTCCTCCTCCCCCTCCTCTTACTCCTCCTCCTCGTCCCCCCTTTCGTTCTGTGCTCCTCAACATGTAGCCGGCCCAGGCGAAAGAGCTAGAGACACATTGTCCTACGGCTGGCCATGCACGCCAGGCTTCCCCATAGCATGATCCAGGGTGTCCCCCTCTTCCAAGCCACGGCCTCCCCGGCCACGGCCACGGCCATCTTCGCCATGCCGTAATGGGCACGGGCGAGCTCCCCAGAGGAGCACGCACGACTCCGGCGTTCGCTTCGCTTCGATTCGCTCCCCCCCTCCAATGCATATGGGATCGAGCTCGCCCCCCCCGCCGAATGGATACGCCCGTGAGCATCACGACGGCCTGGCGAATGGGATCGCCCCCCCCCCTCCTGTAGTCGAGACCCTGTCGGCGTGGTGTGGTGGAGGGTGCTGGTGCCCCCCCCCCTGTGGATGTGGGGTAGTTCGTATACGTCTTCGTCTTCCATCGTCGTCGTCGTCATCGTCATCGTCATCGTCGTCGTCGTCGTCGTCGTCTTTTTCTGTCGGCGTCGTCGTCGGCGGCGTCGGCTTCGGCGTTGGCGTCTGCGTCGTCGGCGTCTGCGTCGTCGGCGTTTGCGTCGTCGGCGTCTGCGTCGTCGTCGTCGGCGTCGGCGTCGGCGTCTGCGTCGTCGTCGTCGTTATCGTCGTCGTCGTCGTCGTGACAGGAGAGCAGGACGCGAGGCTGGCCAGGTCGGCTAAGGCAGCAGGGCGGGTGCGGGTGCTGAGGGCTGCTGGAGCCGAGACGACCGGCCGCTTGCAGAGGAACAGCTGGACGGCGACAACAAGAGGAGGATATTCAGGAGGAGGTCTTCATCATTCACACATACAAACGAAACAGGTTGACAAACGAACGAGCATCGGTGAAACCATGCGAGCGGGGGACGTTTCGTGATTTGCGTGTGAGGAGGGGGAGTGGAGCAGGAGAGGAGGAGAAGGAGCAGGAGGAGGAGGAGGAGGAGGAGGAGGAGGAGGAGGGAGAGAAGGACAAGAGGATGAGGAGGAGGAGGAGGAGGAGCGTAGGAGGAGCAGGAGGAGGAGGAGGAGGAGGAGGAGGAGGAGGAGGACCAGGGAGGTAGCAACGACTACGAGTTTGAAGACATGTGACTGGTTACGTACAATGAGGAGGAACAGGGAAGAAGGAGGAGGAATACTACGAGAGGCGGAGGAGGGACAGAGGAGATGAGAAAGAGGAGGAGGAGAATGAGGAGTAGGAGGATGAGCCAGAGGAGGAGAATGAGGAAGAGGAGGAGGCGGCGCTGGTGGTGGTGGTGGTGGTGGCGCTGGTGGTGGTGGTGGTGGTGGTGGTGGTGGTGGTGGTGGTGGTGGTGGTGGTGGTTGGTTGGTTGTGTGTATGTGCGCGCCTGTGTGCCTGTGTAGTTTGGGCCCCGCAGTCGAATTCGACCCGGGGGAGCCCCAGGGCCAGGACCGCCTGGTTGCCGCTGTGCTGCGCTGGGGGCTCCCAGCGCCAGCGAGGCACGCCCGACACCGGGGCGAAGATCCCGGCTTTTCGCGGAGCTTGCCCAGCAAGCACAGCAGGGCGGAGCTTGCCCAGCAAGCTCGCGCGGGCAGCATCGGGGGGATGAGGAGGAGGAGGAGGAGGAGGAGGCATGGAGCGGGCCAGACGGACGAGGAGGGACCACGGGCAGGAGAGCGGCGCTGCTCCTAGTCTCGCCGCTTGCCCCCTGCGCTGGGATCGAAGCCCTCTGCTCGCGCGGCTGTGGAGCGCGGAAGAGAGTGTCCGCCCGACGGTTCCTTCGCCACCTCCGTGGCCCCTCCTCGTCGCCCCCCTGCGGATTCGTGTTGGTTTCGACCAGGAGGCTGCGCCTCCCGAGGGCGAGGTCTTGTTTTTTTTCTTTCGGCCAGCTGGGATCCTCTCTGCAGCCTTGTTGGAGTCCGATTCTTTTTGTTCCTGGGCTCATGCTGCAAACCTCTTGGGCACCCATTGGGATCTGATTGCGGACTCTTTGGGTTCCTAGTAGGATCTGGGTGAGATTTGCGCTGAGGGGTCCAGGGGCTGAGTGTCACTTCCAGGGGTAGGGAAACGACTTAACCTCACGAAGTATTCAAGAGCTTCCCCTTTCGGCAAAAGGATCACGCCTCCCGCACTGGGAAGCGTTATTCCCGCATCGGAAGGATGATGTGCCTCTCGCCTTAGCGCCGCGCGCATTCGTTCTCAAAACTTGCAAGAGCTTCACGGAGTGAGGGCGGTTTGTGGGTCTCGCCTTAGCGCCACGCGCATTCGCTTCAAAAACATGTTAGTGTTTCACGGATTGAGGGCGGCTGGATTTCAAAATGTGGTTTTCGCAATAGTCCCGGGCACATTCGCTTCAAACATTCGCAAGAGTTTCACGGATTGAGGGCGGGTAGTTTTCAAGCTGTTGTTCTCGCCTTAGTGCCGCGCGGATTCGTGTTGAAAACGTTGCAAGAGTTTCACGGGTAGATGGCGGCTAGTTTTCAACATGTTGTTCTCGCCTTAGCGCCGCGCGCATTCGTTTCCAAAGTTTGCCAGAGCTTCACGGATGGAGGGCGGCTCGTTTTCAAATTGTGGTTCTCGGCTCATCGCCGCGCGCAAATTTTTTGCACAAGCTTGCAAACACTTCTCGGATTGAGGGCGGTTTGTGGCTCTCGCCTTCGCGCCGTGCATATTCGTTTCAAAAAATCGCCAGAGTTTTACGGGTGGATGGCGGCTCGTTTTGAAAATGTGGCCCTCGCCTCATCGCCGCACACCTTCGTGTTGAAAACGTTGCAATAGCTGCACGGATTGAGGGCGGCTCGTCGCTCACAGTGGTAAAACAAAAATTGCAAGCGTTTCCGAAACGGCTCGTTTTCAAAGTGTGGCTTTCGCCCCATCGCCGCGCACG